CCCTCCTCCCTCCCCCTCTCTCCTCCTCTCATCGCTCTCTCTGTCTCTCTCTCCTCTTTCTTTCCCTCTCCTCCTCTTCTCTCCCCTTTCCTTTCCACGTCCCCCATTTTTACATTCATTTTTTGCATTAATTCATCATCAGCACATGGAGCATCACTATTGGAAGCCCAGATTCCATCTATGACAGAGAATGTCTGACAGTATCATCTCAGTTTGGGGGTGGGGGGACACAGAATCCTCATTTCTAGTCACTGACATTTGTAGGACTTGAACTCGGGGCCTGGGCGCCGTCCCTGAGCTCTTTATGCTCGAGGCTGGCGCTCTACCCCTTGAACCTCAGCTTCCATTTCTGGTTTTCTGAGTGGTTGGTTGGAGATGGAGAGTCTCAGGGACTTTTCCTGCCCCTGGGGCTGGCTTGGAACCGCGATCCTCAGACCTCCTGAGTAGCTGGGATGGCAGGCGTGAGCCCCAATGCCCGGCTGAGCGCTGGTGTTTGATCCATTTCCTTTTTGCTCCTCTGTTTTCTTTCTTTTGGTTTTTTTTTTTTTTAACCAGAAAGTTTGTCAAGATGACATCTTCACATTGAGATGGGAGAGAGGAAGAGGAGGAGGGAAGGGCTGGAAAATGAAGTCCATGTTGAGTTGAAACCCTTCTGGACAACTACTTAAGGACTTATTTAAAAAAAATACATAAAAATGAAAAAAGCAAGATGGATAAAAACCAAGGGCCTCCATGACTGGTCAACAACCCAGCATGTATGCTACCAAATGAAGGAGACCGAGGGCAGGGGTGAGGAGGGGAGGGGTGGGGAAATGGTGGAATCGGGGAGGTGGATCAGGATGCATCCTGTTCATCAACTGCATGGCCCGGCGGCAGCTCTTCCGGACAACTACTTAAAGACAATGCTCTCGATAACATCTAAGAGAACGTAGATAATGTTACACACGCATAATGGAAAGAAGGCGATTCTCGCACCTGAGGAGGACCATGTACCCGGGGATGGCGGCCAGGGAGTAGATGAAGCTGCTCACGGTAGACAGGACTAGAAAGTACTGGAGCATCATGGAGCATTCCGGGCCCTTGTCGCACAGGCCCAGTACGGCGGATGCGTTCCCCGACGGCCCGACGCAGCTGCAGTTGTGGAAAACCTGTGTGAAAATGAAGATGGACTTGGGGACCTGGGTGTGGGGGGGGGCTGGCAACAAAAACAACAGCATAGTAACAACAACAGTAATAATAATAACCAAGACCACTTGCTCCTTGTGTTCGCCATCCTCGGGATGACAGGGGGAAACACGGGAGAGCAGCCGCAGAGATGGAAATTTGCCAGGCGCCGTGGCCCCCGCCGGTCACCCCAGCTGCTCAGGAGGCTGAGCTCTGAGGATCGCGGTTCGAGGCCAGCCCGGGCAGGAAAGGCCGTGAGCCTCTGATCTCCCATAAACCACCAGAAAACCAGACGTGGTGCTGTGGCTCAAGTGGTAGAGC